GCGAGGGGGGGTGTGCTCGTGGCCCGGCACGGAGCGGGGGCAGCAGCTTCAGAAGCACCAGATGCCTGGACGCCAGGTGCGGAAGCGGCTGCCAGGCAGGGCGGCACGGAGCGGCCTCCGGAGGCTTCTGGGTTGGTTTTTCCCTCCCGATCCGGGCTGGCCGTCCCCTCTAGGGCAAAAGCAGCCTTGGGACTCAAGGGCCCCCCTGCGTGGACATCCCAAAGGAGTGGACAGCCACCAAAGACCCTCGAGGTCCTCGCAGCACTCCTGGCTTGGCGCTGCGTCTGATGTTCTCAGTACCATGGAGAAGGAGGGGCTATTTCAGCCTGGGGTCCCCCCTCTTTCTGATCTGGGGCAGAGTTTGAGCATTGGGGTTGCTCATCCTGAAGAGGCTGCCTCAGGCCTGGCCCCGGCCTGGCCCCGTCTAGTCCGCCCCTCTGGGTCCCCCAGGAGGCATCTGGGGGGTTCTCAAGCATGGGCCAGAGGGTGGGCCCCCACCCTCATGACAACTGGCAGCTGGCAGGGAACCCTGCAGCCCGATGCCCCCTGGCTGAGAAAGAGGCCTGGTTTGCCTGGCATTTGTTTCAGTAGATCACCTTCAGTTCTGATGGGGGGAGGGGCAAGAGGAGCTTCCCCCACCCAGCGGTTCTTGGTGCCACCCCTGGTTTTTCTCCCCTGTGTCATGTCTCCCCTCACCCTCCTCCCTTCCACGCTGAAGCGCCCCACCTGCAAGGGCTGCTCTGTTTGGGTGGCCCCTTTTACCCCCCCCCCCCGCCCCCCCCCTCCCCCCCGAAGCCCCCCCCCCGCAAGGGCTGCCCCGTTTGGGTGGCCCCCTTTTCCCCCCCCCCCCCGGCATCCCCATACCCCTTCTAAGCGCAGAGCTGGCGAGGCCTGGCAGAGAACCGTCCAAGGGTGAAACTGCAGCGGGAGTTCCGCCTTCCCTTTGCACAGCTCAAGCACCCGCATCGTTTACGCTTGCCAACACTGAACTGCACTTCCCGTTTTGACACCCTTTCTCCCCCTTGGGATCCGCTTCTGATCCCTTCCGACTTTGCCCATCGGCAAGCGTGGGCACCCCACTGCTCGGCCTTCCCTCCGGGTCACTCAGAGAGATGCTAAAAAGCATTGCTCCCAACGCTGCTCCCTGGAGACCCCCTTTGTGCATCCCTCTGGGGGTGAAGATCGCCCCCCGTTGTTCCTCTCTGCTCCCTGCTTTTTAGCTGGGGGCCAATCCATGTGGGCCCCCTCCAGAACAGCTAAGATTGCCAAAAGTTTCAGTCCGTGGGCCTCTCTCCCGTAGACAACGAAGCCCCCGATCTCAGCATTTCACACGCTCAGCGACTGAAAACTGGCCAAGAAGTGACGCCCAAGGTAGAAATTGGAAGTGGACCCCCATTTAAATATTTACTCTCCTAAAACATAAACGTCTACTTCGCTGAAGGCAAACAGCAGCAGCTCACAGTAATTTACAGGGAGGCACACTTAATGAAAAGCAAAACTTAACACCAAACCTCAGACCAGGCCAGGGTGTGAGCTGGCATGCACACACCCCACAACAAAACAAGCGAACAAAAAGTAACACATCTTAGTGCACATGCCATATCTAAGCAACGCCCCCAACCCATCCCCGTTTTGATTTAGGTATGTATTTTAAAGGGCCTATTTCCAAATCTGCCCCTGGCACTCTTCAGAATAAAGGCAGTCCTGGAGACTGGCGCGTGGCCACCATCAGTTTTAAATAAATGTTTTAAAAGTCTAAATGAACCGCACAAAACCAGAAGGGCAGGTTGTCTGACATCTCACCACGAAAAATGCCTTTGGTCACCCCCTGGGAAACCCGGGAACTGGGGCCAGCTGTGCCCACCCCCCTCCCAGAGGAACGGGGCAGGGTTAGCCTTGAGAAGGGAAGGCAGAGAGAGGATGGGATGGCCCGAGTCCCTGAAACGACGCCAGGCAGTTCGTTCCCTCTCGTTCCAGATGGAAGGGCATGAAATCGGGGCCTTCAGAGGCAGAAGAGCTGATTCCAGTTGAAAAGTTTTTCTTTTTTTAACTTTCTAAGAGGAATTTGACAGTGGAACGGAGGACCCGGAGGGGCAGGAGAGGTCCCCTGCTCTGGAGACATGTAATTGGAGGCTGGATCCTGCTCTGAGCAAGGGGCTGGACTTGATATCCTCAAGCGCCCTTTCCAACTTGAGGGTCCTTGGACCAAAACTTTGCAGCCCCTCAGCCGCCCTTCGATGCCTCCCAGCTGAAGCAGAGGTGTCTTGGAGAGCAGCGGCCGCCTGTCCTGGGTCTGGAAGGGCGTGTTGGGCTTACCTGCTGAACTCCGGTCATGCGTGCCCAGCCTCCTCGGGCTCTCAACGCCTCGATCTATG